TGTTGTCGTGATGTTGTTGTTGGTTACCGTAAATGATGAATAGTACTCCATAATATGACAAAGTTGATTATGTTGGCTATGTTGATGTCACTATAAGGGTGCCACAGTGATATGAATAGAGTTGTTGATATTTTGTTGATAGAAAATGTTGTTTAGATGATAATGTGATGTTGTATATCCAAGTATAAGTGCGTTATGGTTGTTACTATTTTAAATGTTGATATGTCAAGATATTGTTGAAGTGGTTGATAAGCTATTAACGATTATGTCACGAAGGTGTTGAATGATTAACATGTGTGTATTTAATTTAAATCGTGTTGAGTTATTGTTATATCGAGAAAGTTGTGGTCGAAGTGTTGCCAGACGCGACTTGGGGATCAGAGAGTGTGATGTGAAATTTGCGTTAAGAGTGGTAGTATCGAGTATATTTTTGAGGAATATTCTAAGTGAGAGAGAGTTGTAATGCCTGATAATTTAATTAATTATTTAATTAAATTATTTTCGAATTATTTGTTGAAATGTGTGAAATGTGTTATATGTTAATAAGTTGTTATTTGATAGATTATTTTAGTTGATTAATATTAGAAATAATATTAGAAAGTATAGAATATTAGTTGGACCTATTTTAATGGTTAGAAGAAGTAATAGGTGGGGTGTGTAAGTTGAGTCCATTAGGAATAATAATATTATTATTAGGATTAGTTATAATAATAAGAAATTAGGTTAATTGGAAAGATTAAAAAAGTCTGATGCAATAACGTAGGAAGTGGCTGAGAAAAGGAACAAGGAAAAGAGGCAAAGCTAGGTCAATCGGAAAATTATAGAGCGACCTTCAAACTGAGGTAAGGGTGGGGTTCTGACTCTATAATGTGAATTGCGATGAATAGTACGTATGAATTAGGTTGGTGTAATGTTGTTGTGTGTATGATTGTTGTTTCTATTTCTGAAATTGTATGTTATCATGTTGTGGATGTTCCCGAATTGTTTGCAGAATTAACTATATGTTGTTGGAAATTATAATATTGTTGATATAGTTGTTATTTTTCTATGATGTTCCATGGTGTGAAATTAATGATCGAGGAGAATACTGAATTTTGGTTTAGCGTTGGTGACAGAACAGACGATGTCTGTGTGAAGGGTCAAAATACACTGTGTCGAGGGGCACAGGTGAGTGCCGAGTGGCATAATATTGAGTGTGTCGAGGGACACAGTTGGAAGTGCCGAGGGGAACGCATTTAAATTGTGACTGTGGCGAGGGCCATGGTGTTCTATGTGGTTAGTGCAACCGTTTATAGGCCATTTTAGTGTTTTCTTTAGTTCCTGATCCACATACTATTTTAACATAATTAAGCCCTAAAATAATTAAGGACAGATTACAGTTGAAGTACATGCAGATTAAGGAAAAATAAAAGAAATTGTTTAGTTAATATTTTAGCAACAGTAACTAGTAGTCAATAGAATATAATGTAGTAGAAAAATATTACAATAGTTAATAGTGATCAATTTTGTTGTGTTGCCTGTATTGATTGGCTAAAGTCAAGTTGTAGGCTATTATCAGTAAGACAATAGCAGAAATAATTTGTGGTAGTAGGAGATGATTCATAGTGGTAGGATGTAATTGCAGGAACCTTATCGGTAAACTATTAACAGTATAATATCCTAGTACACGTAGTAGGAATAAGTTTACAGCAGGAGTTAATTGTGAAAAAGTAACAGGAAGCTATTAGCAATAAAACAACAGTAGAGAATTAATTAGTAGCACTAACAGTAGTAGAAATTTTTGATAGCAGTACTAGCTTATGTAATAATTCCAGCAGGCTAATATTAAAGGAACCGTCGCAAAATGTCTAATAACCGAATATAGACATATAGTTGAATAATTATGTAATGTTATTGCAATGGGTTTCAATTGTATTTGTGAATTTTACTATGTTGTTGTAATATCAATATTGTTGACAATGCAATGTTGTAGGATATACCGATGTTATTGAAATGCCTCTAATTCTTGACAGATATTATGTTGTAGGCTTACGACCAAAGTTGAATTATGTTGAGTTGATATTGAATTGTTGTTGATATTATAGGCTTATGACCAACGTTGATTTATGTTGAGTTGTTGTTTGTTGTTGTTGTCGCTACATACATGTTGTGTCGTATACACCACATATCAAGTTGGAGCTGATACTCGTCAAGTTGGCCTGGATTGGTAAAAATATTAAGTTGAAGACTTATGCCTTGTTGATGCCTCTATTTATTGACAGATTATTAAGTTGGAAGTTTTGCTTCGTTGGTACCACATGCATGTGCATAAAAATCAAGTCGCATTTCATGTTGCATCCTGTGTTGTTGTATGGAAGAATTAGTTGTGTTGAATGTTGTTAAAAAGCTGTGAAGTGGTGATTATTATATGAACTGATTCTAATATATTATTCATCATAGATTCTATTATATTATTTGATATCTCTCACTTCTGTTTGAATGTTACCCCTATGTGGGTAACGTGTAAGTAATTCAGAGTGAAGGTTGTTTATCTTCATTAGTTCGAATCAGTGTCGTCGCTCTGGTACGTAATACTCGGAGGAATGAACACTCGTTGCTTTATCATTGTCATTACTTCAGTTGTTGAATTTTAAGTTGATTTCGTTAAGTACTTGTTGTTTTGAAGTTGTTTTCAGTTGGACAAAGATGTTATGTCATTTGAGTTGAAAATTGTGATTCTGTTGCTTAAGTAATAAAGTTGTTTCATTTTAAAGATTAAAATTGTTGTTATTTGTTCATCCGATGATTTAATTGTTATGTATCTGTTTTATATGCGATTAGATGTCATTTTTATAAGTCAAAAGTGTAGCATTCCATTGTTCGTTAGAAGTTTTACAACTCTGATTTTATATAATTCGTTGGGTAGAAATGGGGTGTTACAATATGCATGAGTCAATGATGTTGCATTGCATTATTTGTGACATTGCATAATGATTAATTAAGTGATGTTGATGATGTTGTGATCTAAGTGGTGTTTGTTGATATATGTTAATGTGATGTTATAATGATATCATTGATGTGTATTGATGATATCAACGTGTGAGTATAATATGTGATATATGATGATGTATGGACTTCATGATGATATTGTAACTACTATATCTTTTCCTTATATCTTTCATAATGATTGTGATTACTCACCCTTTCTGCTTGGAAATATTGCCTCTATTCGTGGGTAACTTGCATGTGATCAGGAATAATCCGTTGAAACTTAGAGGATAGCTTTATGAAATATTTATTTAGTTTCGTCGAATAGAAGGCATCTTACTCTGATATGTAACATCGGATTGGGAAACATTTGACTTGTATATTATGTTACTTTTTCTTTACAGAATAATATAAGTCGTCCTAGTTGTTTTAAGTTATTGAAATATCATGACTATGGATAATGTAAATTGATGATGATTTGAAAGATATTATAAATAAAGTTATGTTGTGATTATGATTTCTGCTCCATAATATTTTGAAGAATATGTATTGATTTTCCGAAAAGGATAAATGAGATAATTGTTGAAAGCTTGTGTTACGTAGCAATATATTCTTGTTTAAGATGTTTTATGAAACATGTGACACCCTCGTCGGTGTTTTATTCTGATTTATTTATTAAATTATTCGTGGATTATTCATTGAGTTTAGAAGGATGTTACAGGTAGAGTATTAAAGTCATGAGGCCACATCTTAGTGGAGTTATGTTGATGGTTACATGACATGGTTATATAACGTGTCACACCCTTACATGACGCTCCTGGACGTCCACTTAGATCTGTTCAGGAGGAGATCTTGAAGAATGAGCAGGTCAGAAATGATCATGTTATTGCCGTCTTGTCGATATGTAAAACCATCATGCAGATTACAAGCGAGGGCATCAATTCTAGATTATTCTAAAGAGGTGATGATGAAGCAGTTGAGCTAGCACGTTCCATTCTTTTCGAGACACAGAATGTCTTGAATTATCGTTGACAGAGACGGAGGCATGAAGTTAGAACTAGGCATACTCAATAAATTATGTTTTTTTATTATATTTTGTTTATTTTTCATCGATTTGAAGAGCAATTGTTGTATTATTATAATATTTCTGATATTCATTTCTATAATATTCGATTTTATGATCACATTATTCAGTTCCACAATATTTATTTTTATTAATCGTTAAAACAAATAACAACAATTAAAATTAGTTTGGATTGAGAACACCAAAATATTATTAAACTGGTTTTGAAAAAAAAGACATAGACAATAATTCGGAGATACATATTCTAATTTACTCAAAAACAATTCAAATATATATCTCCGAAATTATTTCTCATTGAAATTGGATGACTGTTTGATTTGATAGTTTTTTGATGATTTTTTGATTTTATAAGGACGTATGTTGACTTTGATTTGCAGCTTCGAATTTATCCTAGAAACGCCGTAAGAACGTCTAGGAACTAAATTTTACAAATAAACAAAAAAAGTATTTAATACATATCTCTAATTCAGAGATAAATTCAAACCCAAAATTTCCACTAAAAATAAAACATTCAAGCCCATTATATTTTTGAACAATATCTAGAAAAAAATTAAAGAACATACATTAGCAATGTTACCGTCATTCAATATGAAAACAACAATCTATCGTGATATCTTTATAGAATTTTAAAATATAATTTAGCATTATACACAATGATTTATTAGAGGAAGATATAAAATTATATTACCCCGATATATCTTATATTTTCTTTAAAATAAAAATTAAAATAAAAATAGAGAACAGAAAAAGAACGAGAAAGTTTTCTTATTGTGAAAACTGTAACTGTCCCAAACGGTTAGAAGGCATACAAACATCAGAAACTTGCGTCTACGTGTTTAAGGACTCAGATTGTCTACGCCGCTCCTAACGTAGCCTAACGTGCTCCCTATCCCATACAACATGATAATGAGTCAATTGTACACACTCTGATTCGCTCTGAACCACTGATTTAGCACATTGTATTTCTCTTTACAGAGTTCTGTAAATCAAATTGATTGAGGCTAAACACTGTATTATCCTCAACATACTTTCCTTCTTCTCTCGCTCGCTTCTTACCTATCGCCACCCCAAACAGTTTCGGGTAATTATCATCCACCACCATCTCCGCCGCATCTTCAACCCCATACCGCTTCCCCGGCGATATACTAACCGTCTTTGTTGCCGTCGAGCAACACTTTTTTCCTTGAAATTTGGCATAATTAGACATAAGATTGAATATATTATTGAAGAGGGATTTCATGTCCTCTATTTCCGCAGTTAACTGCATATTCTCCTTTCTAAGCCTCTTGTTTTCTTCTAATAGCGTCGCCTGCTCAAACGGCGATGAATCCGAAGAAATCACCTGCTCCTCTCCCGATATTGACGGTGATACAATCGGCTTTGCAGAATGCAAAGGAGATGACACCACCGCTACTGTCGCGGTTGCACTGCTATTGATAACTGTCGACGGCGATTTCGAAAGGATCTTCCGTCGCTGAATATCACATAGAAGGCGTTTCTCACCTCTTCGAAAGAATTCGTTAGAGAATTCCCACCGATCAGGCACAACTTTTTTAAATCCCTAAACATCAACCAAAACCAACACAAATTAAAAAATAAATTCAAATCCAAAAATGAAAAAATTTACCAAACTACAGATAGAAGAATTACATAAGTATTGAGTTGCCGAACGAAGCTGGAGAAATTATTGTGCTTGAAATATTTAGGAAGCAAATCCCTCGCGAAAACGGCAGGGTCCCAAACGACGAACGATGTTCCAGTTTCGTTCCATGAAACGACGTCGTCGATGGTTCGGTCATCAACGATCTGGTACGTTTTGGTGATAAACGGTGTCGGAGTTGATCTTTGAGACTCTCCGGTTGAGGAGTCGCCACTGTGTTCCGCCGGTGGAGCCATGGAGAAGAATCTAGCAGGAGAGAAGGAATTAATATTCGTGATAGTTCTAGAATGTTCGAGAGGAGGTACAAGAGAATAAATAGAAGAGTTATGGAAGAAAGAGAAAGAATATTGAAATGGAAATACTACTACAATAGATATAAATAATTAAATATTAATAGAAGAAGAAGAAACTAGCATTAGGTGACGTCTTTTTCTCGTGAAACTTCTTTCTGTGGGGACAGTTTACTGATTTTGAGTTAACATAAAGAAACTTCTAGACAAACTCACTTAGATTGTTTGTTTCAAATATAGGAAATATATATGAGAAATGCAATAATTTTATTATTTATTTTAAGTTTTTTAAAATTATTTCAAAATACTTTTATTTCTAGCAATATTTTTACATATGATTTTTTAATATATTTATTCTCATGTTTAAAAGATGAAAATCTAACATTTTCATAGAAATAAAATACATTTAATTATAGCTTTTCATTAATATTAATATTTGTATTTATTTTTTTATTTTTTTATCATTTTTGATCTAACCTGATCAGACTTGGACCATCACGGCTGGTTCCGAGCTGAAGTTTTGAACGAGGTGGGGAGTACCTGCAAGACACTCCGATGCTGAAGTAAGTAAGAATACGAGCAGGCAAAGTGTGAGTATATGTGATATAATGAATACCTGACCCTCTGGGAACAGAGGGTATTTATAGCCCCCAGCGCTGGGCCAAGGTTCTTTCACTGGACCGGGCAGGTTTGGCCTAATGGAGGAACTGCCAGGTTCTACGTGCGTAGTGGGGACCCGCACGTGGTCCCCTTCTTGGATGTCCTGCGTGAAAGTGCGGGCGGACAAGGACGCGGTCTTTTCGGGGTCCCGTTGAGAGTGTAGTGGATTGTGTCTGCCGTTGGTGGAGTACTCGAGCTGAGGTCGAGCTGGATAACACGAGGTCGAGGATGTCGCCCCTGAGAAGTATGTCGGGCACAACTGTGATCCTTAGGTCGGCGTGATCCCTAACAAGTCCGTTTGGGTTGGACCTTTATCTTTGCTTTTGGGTCGGCCCGACCCAGTCCAGAACAGGAGCCCCCCAAGTCGTGGTTCCTTGGTTTAGGAGCCATGACTTGATCTCAGGTCGCTCCCGTTGCGGGGCCCCGTATCCGGACAAGAGATGCAGCTCCTTGCGGGGTACTCGAGGTTGTCCCTGTATCGTGCTCGTGGACAGGTTCCCTGCGAGGAATGCCCGAGGGATTTCTCGGTAGCCTGCGTCTGTCGAGCACGCGAGGTCTCTTTTGGGAACTGCGCCGCCACCCTATGGAGGATAGGGTCATCATTGCATGGGGTGATGTGCGTCGAGGAGGGGAATCCGTGGTTGCCCGAGGTGTCGTTTGGTATTCCACGTCATCACTATAAATAGGGTCCTTGGGCCCCAGAATGTGTTTCCACTCTTCGCGCTTCTCCTCCTTGCTTTGTTTCTGCTGTTGTTGTTCTTCCCAGATTCTCATAGGACCGCCGCGATCTCCGTCGCTGATTCTTTTCCTCCGTCGTCAAATTTCCTTCTTGAATCCAAGTAAGTGATTTGACTCCCTTGTTTTTCTGTTGTGATGCGTGATTTTTCACCGTTTTTAGACGTTTAGAGACTGTACGCCTAGGATTAGCCCGGTAGATTCATATTTAGCTCGACGGATCCATGCGTATGTCCGGAAAGTGCATGTTGTTCCCGGTAAATGCATAGTTTAGGTTTTAATCTGCAGTGCTGCCCGGGGTCTTCATGATCCAGGGCGCCTAATTCGTGATCGTGCCTGGTATATTCATAGCTCTAGCTCTAGGCTTTATGATTTGGCTCGCCATGTTCATACCCTGGGCCGACGTATTCATGAGTGACCGAGTTGTCGGTTTATTTAGGCGACTTATAGGAGGACCTGTCGAGGTATCTGGGAGTCGGGGAGATGGCTGCTGTTTTTTGTTCCAAAACACCAACTTTGCAGTCGCGCGTGGAGCGACGTGGTCTGTCGTGCCCTTCATCTCGTCCGTTATGGCGAGCGTATGGTTTCGCGCCCAATTGATTGGTTTCCCGTGCTTTGTAGGTAACCATGGCGGACGAACCGTGCTCTTCAGGACGGCCCGAGGTGGAAGAACAAAGCGCTGATGAGAATGTGAGTTTGGTCGACACCGTAGAGGACCCTCAGCTGGACTGGGTGGGTGCCGAACCTAGAGGGATAGCTTCGGTCTATAGTCGACATAGCCGAAGGGCATACACTATCCTCGAGGCGGACCACAACCAGCCCGGTTTCCAGAAGAATTTCGTGGTCACTCAGCCATCTTTCACTGCTCGAATTTGCTCGGTGTTCCCCGAGTACAGTTTCCCTATGTATGAAATTGCTTTCAAAGACCTTGGGTTGCAGCCGCCCTTCAATGATTTCCAGGTCGGGGTCTTCAGCCATCTGGGGCTGGCCCCGTCGCAGCTTCACCCAAACTCGCTCGCTTTTATCCGGGCATTTGAGCTAACCTATCGTTTTCTGGGGATTGGGGCGACCATACCCCTCTTCTTCAGAGTCTTCCACCTGCAACGCCAATCCCGGGGAGGAAAGCATAGCTGGGTTTCCCTGAAACAGTCGAAGAGACTTTTCAGGATGTACATGGACTCCGTGCGGGGTTTTAAAGACAAGTGGTATGTTGTAAGGCCGGTTACCACAGCAGGTTTAGAGTCCGTGTATGAGGAGGAAGCGGTCATAACCGACGACGACGGGGAGGCCCTTTTGGACGGCGAAGGACGTCCGGTGTTAGGACGCACGGCCAAATTTCCTGTGCATTGGATCTCGAGGCATTATGAGCATGGTACCGGGTATTACCATACGTCCGCGGGCGATATGAGCCCCGAAGACGAGAAGGCTTATGATACTCTTTGTCGGTATGTTGATAGCTTCCATCCCGCCAGGTGGGCCACGAGGGAGGGGGAGGATATTCTGGACGATGAAGGTTATCCGACCTTCGAGGCTCGGCCGATTGACACGAAGGCACTCGTGGAGTGCCAGTCCTTTGGGCAGGTTGCGCGTTTGCTAGGTCGTTTATTGTTTGAATTTCTTTACTTGTTACTTGTTTGCTTATTTGCTCGGCACTAACCCCGGTTCTTTCGTGCAGGTTCGATGGCTGGACGAAGGGAGAGGCTCTTGAAGTTGTCCTGTGACAGGAAGGTGAATAAGAGGTTGGTGAGACCTCCTCAGGCGACGAGGATGGGCCCGCCACATAGCCCGGGCATTTCTCAGGCGACGAGGGTGGACTCGCCACCTAGCTCGGGGGCTGCTTCAGAAGGGACTCCAGATGTTCAGGAGGTCGAGCCACACACCGACCTGATACAAAGAAAAAGGAGTCGGGTGGAAAGTCAGCCGGAGGTCGGCGAGGACTCCAGCACTGTGAGGTCCTTCGGGTTGACCCCTTGCTTTAAGGAGGAGGGTTTCTTCGAGGGATTTCCTTTGTCCGTGAGTCCTGACGAAGCTGAAACCATCAGGCGGATGAACAAGGAAAATCGGAGAAGGCACCTGGCCGCCAATATGGCCGGGCTGGTGAAGATGGTCGAGATGGCCGTTGTGCTGGTCGAGGAGGGGGAGGACGCTGACCGTGTCAAGGAGTTGGAACAGGAGAAAGCTGCCCTCACCTCGACTTCACGAAAGCTGAAAGCTGCCCTGGAGCGCTCCGAGGAGATGTTCCGCGAGCAAGCTGAGTTGCTGGTGGCGGAGACGGAGGCGCTGACTCTGGAGAGGGAGAACTCGGGGAAGCTGGCCGAGGAGAGAGACCTTTTTCGTGCGGACCGGGACCGCCTGGAAATCGACAACAGGCGCCTGGCCAGAGAGATCGGGGACCTAAAGGCTGCTATGCTTCCTGCCGAAGACGAGTCGGAGGACACAACTCTTTTGAGGAGTCGATCGGAACTGGTCGCGCGTATTCAGCTTCTCGAGGGGGACTGTGTCGGAGCTATGGTGGACGACTTCGAAGCGGCAGTCAACCAGCTTTCCTTGTTGAATCCCGGCCTGAACACTGAAGGGGCGAGCCATATGTCGCAGATTATCGATGGTCAGGTCGTGCCTCCGCCCGACTCTCCTGTTGTTGGTGATGGTAGCTCGGGGGAAGCCGAGTTGTGAGATAGTGGTGGGGCCTGCGCGCCTCGTTGATGTTTGTTTTGGGCCTGCGTGCCCGTTCACATTTTTTGGGCTTGCGTGCCCGTTCTTTGTATTTCTGAATATTGCCGGCCTTTTTGGTCGGTTTACATCTTATTTGCTTTGTTGCCTACGGGCCTTTTAAATGAATGCTTTGTTTCAATTTTGATCGTTTGCCCGTGCTTGTATTTTATGTTTTTGCGCAAAAATTGGCCTAAGTTATGGGCCCGAGGTGTGCCCGTAAATGGTTGTGACTTCGCTGGCAAATTTGCCTAAGTTTTTTGTTCGTGCATGTGCTCGGCCTCTTCTGGATGGCCAGAGTCGCCTAAGTGGTGAACTCGAGGGGAGAGACTCCTTTTTGACCCTTTAAGATGGCCCAACATTCTTGAAGATTTGTCGGGGCATGCGGAGCGAAGCCGCTTGGTCGGGTATATGACCCGGTCGGGGTTATTTGCCCGCGGCGTGAACTGCCCATCGCGAGCTGGGTGTTCTGCCCTACAGGTACTTCGACGGTGGAGCTCGGTAGAGGTGTCCACGTCGGGCACTATCGTTTGTTCTTGTTTTGTTGAAGGATGTTATGCGGTTTGGACGTAGGTCGGGCCTGTACCTCGGCCTCTCTACGGGGTTGGACGCTTCTCCTCGTTGACTGGGCGCGGGAGCCGACAGCCGAGGGTCCTCAGTGTTGGTGGTTTTTAACTATAGTATTGCTTTAGTTTAGCAGCGTTCCAGGGTCGTGGTAATGGCTCTCCGTCTAATTGCTTGAGGTAGTACGCCCCAGTACCAGTGGTGCCGTGGACGCGATAAGGTCCTTCCCAGTTCGCGGCTAGCTTCCCTTCGCGGGAGTCTTTCTGGTTCCTTTGTAA